GTATGTACATTTGTCTACTGGAGTGGAGACAACTGGCAGGTGGCAACTTTGCTACTGTATAGCCTCTACTTTGTTAGCCTTAAGTTGGCTAGATGCATTGGGCTAACATTTACTGATGTTTTCAGTTGCAGTAACGTTACTCTGTTGAATAACGTTGGTTATGTTCGTTGCGCATTCCATAAATGTGCGTGCTATAACTGACATGCAAAACTAGTGTTACCCAATTGTATCTCACACAGTGCATCTTATTAAGCCTGCAAATTCGCCAGCCAGGAGTGTACATTAACAAATTAGCATCCACGTGTAAGGCTTAGGTATACAGTGCTGCACTACATAATATGACTTATTAAACAACATTACATGCTAGTTTTAGGCCAGAATATCCCTTTAAAACTTTAAATTGCCAGAGCCCACCAACAGGCCCAAAGTTTTACGCAGCTTTGTGTTTTGTTGGTGCTGGTTGTGGACAGACATGAGCAGTCAAAACAAGAATGTGAGAAAAGTAATAAAATTCATTACAGGTCAAATTTTCTATTTATGGTAACTGTCCAGCTATTTGATCAGCAAGATTTGGTCAACGCTTTTTGAGTATAAAGCTGGATATTCTAATCATAGTAAGTTAATTCTGGATGCTAAGCACTTCTCTGAATTACTGCGTCTTGCTGTCAGGAACACCTGAGAGGAAGGTAAACGGCTGAATCTCAAATGACCCCCTACTCCCTACACAGTGCACTATGTGAAATATATAAATTTGCCTTCCATGCCCAAATAATACGATTCTTCAAGGAGGTAATTGTGTACACGTGGCTGAATCCCCAGAAAATCTCTGTTAGACATATTATACAGGGTTTGGGTGCAGGAGCCATTATTTTAAGATCTAAGTTGTGCACTATGTAGGGCGTAGAGAGCCAATTGAGACTGAGCCAAAGACAATACAGTAGGTACTCAGAGTCCTACTGCTACCTCCTACTGGTGATAATGGGTAACAGCAGGTTTGTTTGCATTCTAATAGAAAGTTTAGAATTTTAGTGCCTTGACAAGAACTTTAAAATGGCAAATTCAATAAGTAAATCCAATCAAACTAATAAAATGATATCAGTAACTTCTTTTTACACGTTTATTTTTGAGAGTGTAAGAAACTATCTGCTTTTGGGCCTTGTTTGTAACAATTGCCGTCATGTAATGACTTTTTTCTCTGCTGTGGTGAACCATTTTTAATAGTGTCCCTTATTATGTTTCATCAGAAAGAAAGTCACCTGAGAAATTTAGATATAAAAAGATATTTATCTGGTCAGCAAGCTTATTCAAAGCTATTTAAAAAGTATTATAATAAATACAGATAACATTAATACTGTAAGTATTGATTATACATATGTCAGTGTGTTTGCTTAACCATTTCCAAACCTCTCCTCGAGGATGTCCAGTATTTTTATAGTTATTGTCAATCATGGGAGCTGTGTCAAAACTTTCCCCTATTCACTATGTAGTGCATAAATTTTGGGGCTCTGCCATTTTCCAGTGGTGCCTGAAAACATAGCGCAGAACATCCAGTGCACTCAAACAATCCCACAATGCACCACAAAGCGTAGAGTATAACCGATGTACACAAGCGAATAGGGGATACCAGAAATGCACTACACTGTTGTTTGAATATTCACACGTAACTTCTCTGAGTAGAATTAGTGAGCCCAGTTACAGCATAGAAGGCTGAGGTGTTACCCACCTACACCATACCAACCACAGTGAGGTGTATGCAGTCAGATTCAGCAGTTATAGTGTACTGGTGGCAGGACGTTTAGAGCGTTTATGTGACAGAATCTTTGGTCGGACAGTAATGAGAAAACGTGTATGACTAAGTGTCCTAAATCGAGACTAGTCTGGACGAGCTGATGATATTGAAGGCACAGCTGAAGCCAGTAAACGGCATTCTGACATACGTGTTCGTTCCTTCTAGGCCAGATCCAAAAACAAACCAGCCCAAATGTTGTCCACCAAATCCAATCAAAATCTGCCCAATCTAATGGAATCCATCCAATCTGCCAACACTGTTTTGGATGCTCGTAGGCTATTCAACCAGCATGACCATGCCAGATGACATCTGAGAACCAAGAAAGACCAGCATGCAAACCAGCATCTGGTGCTGGTCAATTCAAGTTCTTAAATATATCTTTTAGCACCAGTACCTGATTAAGGAAATGGTTGGAGAACACATTCAGAACAAAAGAAGGTGTAAATGTGAGAGGTCAAAATTAATGAAGATTCAAAGCTGTTCAGTTCTGCGAATCTGTTCTAAAGCAATTCCAGTATTTCCTAGACTGCAATACCTGAATACCGCCAGTAGGGGTAGGGAGCAGTTAGGGTAGCAACCAGCTCTCTTCCTCTTCATTCATTAATAGAGGTGGGGAATTCAGGACCAAAAGGTAAAAACCCTCACCAGGGTTTTGTTCCGACTGCTTGACTTCTGTAATTTGCTCAAACCAGCAGCAAAGGTGTTCAGGCAGTTGGAACAAAATCCTGGTGAGGGTTTTTACTTTTTGGACCTGGATTAAAAAGAGCCTGTGTCTGCGAACCTTCTGCTCACAAATCTTTTTTAGGGCATTTACATAAAAGGACATAGTTATGATACGCGTGCCCTTAACAGTTGTAGAACATTCTCACATTTTAAAACGGAGTCATTCAAAGTCAGCACTAACTCCATAAGAGAGGCTGAAAAGGAGGATTGCATTCATTCTAGCCCACAAAACCTGATATGACCATGTATAAAGACCCAAAACCAAATGAGACAGATAATCCAAACCTTACAGGAGTTTTAAGCTACACTATGTACATTTTGGGGATTTGGCAACCTCGGTAGGGAAAATGTGTAATTGCATCCAACATGGAAGAGAACATTTTCAATATGGGTTGCGCTTCGGACCCCTTCCCCGAGCAGATGAATCTGATTATTACAAGCGCATTGAGGATGAAAAGAGAACTTGATCAAAATGTGATGATGAACGTGTCTTCCAAAGATGTCTACTATTGTCCAAATAATGCCGAGATGGAGACAAAATAGAGTCCAAATGTTGTCAAGACCAAGACCGGACACGAGTAGTGCAACACTAAAAAAGTCCTGACAAAATTCAGGCAGTTACTGCTGCACCTGTTTGTATACAGAATGCAACATTACATGTCCAAAAGTATCCAGACACCCTGGATAAGTGAATTAATTTAAGGTTTAATCATTACTGATACACAAATGGTGAAAGAAAATAAATTATAGAGGCCTACAAAAAACAATAGTTTTTTTTTTTTCTTAGAGAACTTGCGGCAGAGTATAAAATAAAAGGATGCTAGGATGCTGAAGAAGATATGGACCAGAGGTACATAGGTAGAGTTCACTTATATTTATTTTATTCCAAGACTCCTCACAAGCCAAGGAGAAGAAAAACATCACCCACAGATTTCATGGAGCACATATTGATTGATCAATTTTGTGATTAATAAACAATTTTTATTGGTTCATGTTGGTCTATAGATGCCACCACGGGACACCATGATGGAATACTGTGACCACTCAGTGCCCATTTCATTAGACACTCCTACCTTGTTGGCTGACCTTGTCCATGTAAAGTCACAGATGACAGCTCATCTATTGCTGCTCAGTGTGTGTTGGTCATCCTCTAGTCCTTCATCAGTGGTCACAGGACGCTACCCACAGGACGCTGTTGGCTGGATATTTTTGGTTGGTGGACTATTCTCAGTAGTGATACTGAGGTGTTTAAAAAGTTACTATTATAACATTGGGAGGATAAAAAAGGTGTTCCCTTAAAGCTGGAAGCATATAATTGTCTAAAATGTCTTTTTATGCTGTAACATTAACATAACCCTTCACTGTAACTAAGGGGCTCAAACTTCACCAAACTTTACTGTTGGCCCTATGCATTCCTCTAGGTATCGTTTTCCTGGCATCTGCCAAACCCAGATTCATCCATCAGACTGCCAGATAGAAAAGTGTGAGACATCACTCCAGAGAATATGTTTCCACTGCTCCAGAGTCCAGTGGTGATGAGCTTTACACCACTCCAGCCGACACTTGGCGCTGTGCATTTTGATCTTAAGCTTGTGTGCAGCTGCTCAGCTTTAAACCCATTTCATGAAGCTCATGATGTGCAGTTCTTTTGCTGATGTTGCCTCCAGAAGCAGTTTGGAAATCTGTAATGAGTGATTTAACAGAGGATAGACACTGTGTGCTTCAGCACTCGGCAGCCCCACTCTGAGATTGTGTGGTCTGTTGCTCTGAGGCTGAGCTGTTGTTGCTCCGAAACATGGCCATTTTACAATAATAGCACTTACGGTTGACTGGGGCAGATCTAGCAGGACAGAAACTTCACAAACTGACATTTGGCAAACTGGCATTGTTTTGTTTTCACAACAAATAAACAAATTTTCATTGCTCAAAGTACACATAAAACACAAATGTGAGCTATTGTATCATCTCATTTAAGAAAAATATATACAGTCATGTGCAAAAGTTCAGCTTCCCTGGTCAAATGACATTTTTCTACATTTTAAAGTACAATTACTGCTTATTTGCTGAATCTAACTGACTGGGGGGAACAAATAAAGCAAAATGTGACCTGTGTGAAAGTTCACATCTTATACTGTTTGTTTTACTTATTTCCAGTATGTGACATTTAGCAAATAATTAGAAAATGTGCATTAAAATTTGCAGAAAATGCCATTTATGTCATGTTATGTTTACAGTACAGAGCAATACTACTATGTAAAATACTTTTCTAACAAAAGTTAAGATATGTTTAAGATATATTCAATATTAAGATATTCAATATTTACATATTCAGTTACACAGTGCAGTTTTACTGTCTGCTGTGTTTGTGAATTCATTTGCATTTGTGCAGTGAGCCGTCATGTAAATCATCATGAAAAAGGAGGAGCACAAAACAAATAGAGCCTTATTGGCTTCAGTTTCCTCTTTAGTTACAGACACCATAAACTGCAGGAGACACAAACACAAACAGAGCAGCTTTACCAGCCATAACAGGTAAGAAACACCTTTAAAAACTGTAAACACTTAGTCAAATTGAAAGCATGTGTTCTAAATATTCAGTCTAAGAAACAGTTTAATAGTCATTTTATTGTAATACACCAGACTGAAGTGTGGATCTTAAAGAAAATGCTATAAATATACACTCACTATTTTCTTACCTTCAAGAGAAGACGGTAACTGTTTTTATCTGATAGGAACAATGAATGAGTTTTACCTACAAATTCTGCTGTTTCTTTGCACAATCACCATTGATAACTTGTCACTGTCAACCACTGCCGTGGAAAATGTATATTCTCGCTTAAAATCACTAAGAAAACAATTGCTACTGATTGTGAGGGGAATACACGGGCAACATTTTGGATATTTATTGTTATAATAGTTATTGTTAAACAGCCTTTATTTTATATTAGGCTAACTTGGGTGAACTATGGCTGGTCTAATGCAAACCATGCCATTTAACATAAAATATCAACAGCACCAATAACACTAATGCAAGCTTATTATATATATATATATATATATATATGTATATATATATATATATATATATATATATATATATATATATATATATACATATAATATTTATTATTTATATTATTTTATACCAGATGAGGCACCATGCAAAACAGCATGCTTGGCAGAATATTTCTGCAAATGTCTTTGGTTTTAAAAAGTCGTGAGTGCCCATCACTGTTTTTGTACTTGACTTTAGTCTAAATTCTCGTCTTTTAATTTCCAGTTTGCACATATTAATTAATGTAAACATATTTTATTAAAAAGCAAGTTAAAGGAAGTTACTTAACACAGGAGAGATGGCGTTGTATGTTAAAATTGTCTTATAACTGAAAGTCTTTTTTTAAAGTCATTTTGGAAACTTCACTTTGTAAAAAGCTTTTGTTAATCATCATCTGATAGCACGTTTATGGGATTAACAACATTATGGGATTATCACAGTAAAGTGGAGTTTATTCCCTTTTCCACAGAGGGTTTAGTACTTCATATGGCAGATGTTTACTGACACTTAATGGTTGTAAGGCATGCATATAACATTTTTATTTTCTATTTTGCAGTTTTTCTATGAATTCTTCAGTAAATACTAAATATGAATATTATTGAAAGAGCCCGTTAGTCTCTTTGCTCTATGCCAAGATGGTGGCTAAATCTTGTTTAGGGTTTGTTTAGTATGGTGTCAAGCCATTTACATCTAAGGTGGGTCCAGACATCCATATCTCTGTTCTCTTTGGGATCATACTTGCTAATTTGGGGTTTGTCAAGTCAGGACATCTTTATTGATGTAGCACATTCAAAACACATCAGCTGAAGTGCTACATAATTCAATCAACAGAAAAGGTATGAACTCAACCATGTAAAAAGAGGCTTTAAGCATGACTAGTCAAAACTGCACATTAAATCAAATAATATGCAGATAAGAACGAATCGTATCTGCATATTATCTGCATATCACGTCCAGGTTAGATTACTGTAACGCTCTGCTTTCTGGTTGTTCCAGCCAAAACCTTAACAAGCTTCAGTTAGTCCAGAACGCTGCAGCCAGAGTTCTCAGCCAAACCAGGAAATTTGACCACATTAGCCCAATTTTGTGTACCTTACATTGGTTGCCAGTTAAATTCCGCATTGAGTACAAAATTCTTCTACTGACGTATAAAGCTCTGAATGGTCTTGCTCCTCAGTACCTCAGTGACCTTATTTCCTATTATCAACCGACACGCCCACTTAGATCACAAGGTGCTGCTCATTATTAGTACCCAGAATAAATAAAGTTACGTCAGGGGGAAGAGCCTTTTCATACAACACCCCCCAGCTTTGGAATAACCTACCAGTCCGTGTTCGGGACTCAGACACAGCCTCCATCTTTAAGTCTAGGCTAAAAACTTACCTGCTTAGTTGAGCCTTTGGTTAATTTGTTTTCCTAACTATGTCCCTCTTACCTACGCGCTGATTACACCTCGTTGACCTGGCTCATGCAGTTCAAAAGGACTGAGGGTCAGCTAGAGAGGTAGATTGTGCCATTACAGAAGTAAAACTTTCCATTTAGCACCATGCTGGGCAGATGGTTACCATAACTAAACGAAAAGTGTCGCTTAAATGTCTCTTAAACAGCACAAACTAATGTACTGGTAGTAAAGACTGTTGGTGTTTAATGTGTGAACTGTGTCTCTCTTGTTCTCCACAGTCATGAGTTCAGCTCTGTATCTGATCCTGCTTTTCTCAGGTCAGTGTAGCTTCATGATCATCTGTAAAACTCTCTGCTGCTTCATTACTGTACTGTCATGCTGATGAGAGCTTTCATCTCTACAGCTCTGTGGACTCTCTCCTTCTGTGGGACTCGTCAGTTTTATGTGGTGAATGTAAATAAGAACTGGACCGACGCTCAGAAATACTGCAGAGAGAAATACACTGACCTGGCCACCATTCAGAGCCAAGAGGAAATGAACGCTCTATTAGCTCTTGTCGGTGGGACAGCAGGCTTTTTCTGGATAGGACTGAGGCAGAAAGTTCAACAGAGCACAACTGTAAGAAATGCTGAAAATATAGATGCAAGAACTAATTCATAAAGCTTGTTCCAAAACCAGCAATAGCGTAATGTTTACGTATCACTGCACATGATCTTTATTATTGTATCACTTATTTTAATCATTCTACTGTAAATATAACTCATGCTCTGTAGAGGTCTATGTTAGACATACATTTGTGACACTTGAGGCTCAGAGAGTTGGGATGGATCCATCTGCAGGTTTATTTAGAACAGGGGCAGATGATGCACCTCTGTTGTCCTGCATCCGTGTTTGCGATTTGAGAAGGAAATCTATGCACAAATATATTAAATAAGGAATAATCTAAGAAGAATATATATACACATTTTAAAGTGATTTAGTGTTATTGTCTGGAGCAGTGATATTATATAATAATAAATACTAACAAAGTGACAGAATGAAATAGTAGCTGGGGAAGGACCCACAGCTTCACGGCTTGTTCAGAAGCCTGACAGTCTGTGGGTAGAAACTGTTCATTAGCCAAGTTGTTCTAGCCTGGATGCCGCGTTATCTCCTGCCTGATGGCAGTATGCTGAACCGGCCGTGAGCTGGGTGGCGCTGTCCAACCAGATCTTTTAAACCTCCCCTGGGCCAATACTGCCTCATGATGCTCCGGTAGGCCCACTGGATCCAAAAGCAGTCAAGTATTCTGTGACAACTGAGCCTCAGAGAGTCAAAATGGATCCATTTGCAGGTTTTTTAGAACAGGACAATCCACAAAATCATAGTCAAAAAAAAATATATATAGCAAAGAAGTCAGCACAGAAATACAGTGTAAAAACTCAGGCAACTAAGCAAAGGGGCAAAAAACAAAAGTCCAAAAGACAGGGATGGTACCAGTACATCAAAGGAAATGAAGTGCTGTGTTTGGGGAGTATTTGAGGTGAGGCTGATTAGGGCAGTAATGAGGTGCAGGTGTTATGATCAGAGAGGTTGTTATGGAAATTGAACTAGTATTCAGAGGAGAGGGTGGGGCATTGTTATCAATATTACTTCAATAAACAAACACACACACACACACACACACACACACACACACACACACACACATTACCTAAGCCACTTATCCTCCTGGGTTGTGGGGAGGTGCTGGAGCCTATCCCAGTGGTCACTGGGCAGAAGGCAGGAAACACTCTGGATAGGTCGTCAATAAACACCATTTATTTATTTTACCAAATTTTAATGTGTTATTATGCACATCTTCCTAATTTTATAGCTTCCTTTTTCTAACTGTTTATTAAATTTGTTCTACAGCACACATTTATGTATAGTCTAGAAACTTTTTGAAATATCCACATCAACAATTTGCTCAACTTCCTACAAGACTTATGTGACTGTGATGATTATTTGACCACACAGTACTATAAACAACACTGAGAGGTCAGTGTTTAAACAGTTTACTGATCAAGTGTTAATATGTTTCTAGAGCTGGATCTGGTCAGATGGGAGTAACTCCTCGTACAGATACTGGAACACTGGAGAGCCAAACGGTGGTGTGGGTGATCTCTGTGTGGAATTATCATATTACTCTGCATATTACCCTGCATACAGATGGTATGATTCAGACTGCAGTTCTCAAAAAACATTCATCTGCTATAAAGGTGAGTAGTATAAGATGATAAATGCAGAACTGTTACAGAGTCAATTCATCCTCTTTTAATGTTTGTGTTTGGAGCAGTTACACTGACTCACTGCTTTAATCTAGTCTGAACAGTGAATTAAAGGCTGCATTTCTGGATATTTGTTTATATATGGCTTCTTCTTTACATGGTAGAGGTTTAACCAGCATCTGTGGATGCAGCAAAGAACTGTTTTCCCAGACAGCGTTTTTCAAAGTGTGCTTGAGCCCATGCAGTGATTTCCACTACAGAATCGCGTCTGTTTCGAATGCAGTGTCGGATTCTCTGAATCTTTAATGATATTATGTACCATAGATGATGATATCCCCCAGCTCTTTTTTATTTTGCATTGAGAAACGTTGTTCTTGAATATTTGCACATACAGTCTTTCACAGAGTGGTGAACCCCTCCTCATCTTTACCTCTGAAAGACTCAGCCTCTCTGAGATGCTCTTTTTATACCCAATCATGTTACTGACCTGTCAACAATTAACCTGATTAGTTGTGAGATGTTCCACCAGGTGTTTTGTTTAGCATTACACAACTTTACCAGTCTTTTGCTGTCCTGTCCCAAATTTTGTGCAGTGCGTTGTTGGCATCAAATTCAAAATGTGCATGTATTTTTCATCATTCAGCATGGTGAGTACACTGCAGTTAAACTGTCATTGAAAGTTAAAAGCAGTGTGTCGTCTGCTTTTCAGCAAGTTTGCATTAGCAAAGTAACCTGTGAGTGTGAGCTGCGTATGTGTCTAAACTATGCATCTAAATGATCAAGCGAAACAATATGACCACCTCCTTGTTTCTGCGCTCATTGTCCATTTTATCAGCTCCACTTACTATATAGGTGCACTTTGTAGTTCTACAGTTACAGACTGTAGTCCATCTGTTTCTCTGCATACCCCTTTTACCCTGTTCTTCAGTGGTCAGGACCCCCATGGACCCTCACAGAGCAGGTACTATTTGGGTGGTGGATCATTCCCAGCACTGCAGTAACACTGACGTGGAGGAGGTGTGTTAATGTGTGTTGTGCTGGTCTGAGTGGATCAGACACAGCAGTGCTGCTGGAGTACACACTGTGTCCACTCACTGTCCACTCTATTAGACACTCCTACCTTGTCAGTCCACCTTGTAGATGTAAAGTCAGAGACGATAGCTCATCTGCTGCTGCACAGATTGTGTTGGTCATCCTCTAGTCCTTCATCAGTGGTCACAGGACGCTGCCCACAGGACACTGTTGGTCCTGGATATTTTTGGTTGGTGGACTATTCTCAGTCCAGTAGTGACACTGAGTGATTAAAATTGGGTTTTTGAGTGCAATGAGCTGGTGATTTGGATAAAAGTTAAACATGATGTAGAACCGGGGGTGCACAACTCCGGTCCTGGAGGGCCAGTGCCCAGCACAGTTTGGAGGTTTCCCTGCTCAAACACGCCCACTTAACCTAGCAATTAACAGACACATGTAATCAGGTGTGTTGAAGCAGGTAAATCACCAAACTGTGCTGGACACTGGCCCTCCAGGACTGGAGTTGTGCACCCCTGATGTAGAAGATAGGAAAGAACAAAAGGAGGAACAATCCTTATATGTTGATTTCTTGAAAGAAACACTGTGCATGACATGAAATATTAAGATATTGACAGATTACTAGCTGCACTTTTCCCGATTAATCAAAAAAATCAAAGCCATAGTTAACTGTGGAACTCATGGTTAGTTGAAGTCACTAGACTTTTCTGGATTACTGTTCACTCTGTAATGTGCTAGAAAATACTTGTTAAGAATGAAGCTTGTGTTTATTTTTGACAACCAGGTGCTATTTTTGTTTCAGTGTAGTGAGTGAAGTTGTGGTTGAAGTGATTTTTTTACACTAATGAAACTTAATGTGGTGCAAACATTGTTTTGGAGTTACGCGCTATATATATATCAGGCGACAGTTGATCCGATTTTACGATAAGAGATTTCCATTTTGATAACTAAGGAAAATAAAAAGGAAAATTGAAAAGTGTATATATATATATATATATATATATATATATATATATATATAGTCAGATGGAAGACAGTTGTGTTTGTTACACGGCTATAACAGGTGGAACATTGTCCTTTTGCACGTACTGGTCAGTTCAGAAGTCAGACCTTTTCAGACTAATGTAGGATGCAGACTCCACTGAAAAGACAATGGGAACAAACAGTGATACATATAGAATCCTCAGTGAATAGTGTGTACAGTAAACAGTGAGGGACTGATCTGATGTACTGATGTGTGAACTCTTGTTCTTTCTCTACTCAAGACCTTCCACTCATCCTGATTAAGCAGACCAAGACGTGGAGAGAAGCTCTGAGATACTGCAGAGAGAATCATGTGGATCTCGTTTCTGTTCACACTGAGAAAATTCAGAATTGGGTGGAAACAGCTGTTTATTATGCCTCCACTGCTAATGTGTGGATGGGTCTGCGTCACACCTGTGCTCAGAGCTTCTGGTTCTGGGTGAGTGGATCGGCTATATGTTACCAGAACTGGGCTCCGGGGAACGGGACAGGGGTGGAAGACTGCAGTGGAGGAGAAAGATCAGGAGCGGTGCAGTCTGGAAGTAAGAAGTGGGTCAGTCTGCCAGAGAATCAGAGACTCAACTTCATCTGCACCACCTCTGAGGGTGAGACCAAGGCTTCTGTACATTTTAATATCAAAGATATTCATATTCAGATATAAAATTATTATTTCTTGTTTATTTTCAGAGCTTTAGAGGATTCAGGCAGCCACATATGAAGCTGGATCTACATACTTTACTCCACAGTGGACTTTTTACTGAATTTGTCTGCTTTCTGTGATATGTTAGCACATTCATTAAATCCATAAACAATCCATAAAAAATCTTTTCAAAAACATCCTAATATTTAGCAGCTTCACAAATCTCTTAACGCTGTTGATTAATGGCCTTCAGGTGGCCCTTTTTAATTCTGAAAGTTAATGTACATGTATATATTTCAATAAATCATATATACACTACATGTCCAAAAATTTGTAGATGCCTGTCTATCCAACGCCTCTTCCGAAATTAATAGTGAGTTTGTCCCCTGTTGCTGCAGTAACAGCCTCTACTCGTCTAGGAAGGCTTTACACTAGAATTTTGAACATTGCTGTGAGGACTACAGGAGGATTAGTGAGGTCAGGTGGATGTTGGATGATGGTACTGATGATGTTAGTTCTGCATCACTCCAACTCATTCCAAACATATTTGATGGAGCTCCATATTTCAGAGAACCACATTGCAGCCTCGGGGGGGCTTTATCCCCCAGTATTGGTGTAAAGCTCATGTACAGCTGCTCCAGAGCGTCTCATTCTATTGTTTAGATTCTACAAGCTAAATACCTGTGACAGCAATAACTGCAATGTGATTTGATTCATTTACAAGCAATTTAATGTTAAAAGAATGATTTTTCCATATCAATTTATAATGAACAGTCATAATTTAATAAAAACTGTCATTTTCCCCAAGCTGTGCAGGAATTCGGCCCTCCAGGATGAGAGTCCCCCACCACTGTCTCAACCTTAGCATTATATAGCCAGCTAGCTAAAACAGCACTGATTCTGACTCCACGTATGACAACATTATGGCTTACACTGCCACATAAACAATGAAAAGAAAAAGAAAAGAAATTGTAAAGAAATGCTAGCTTATGTCATCATTTGATTTGTGATAATCAATTACATCTAGCACGTGCAGCAGCTTTCAGGCACATGAAAACAGCAGTATGTAAATTCCAGGTTCTGTTGGATTAGATAACAGACTGGAATGCGTGACCTGTTTAATGCAACAGTGGATCTTTGTTCATTTGTGTTTGTTTGCTGGAACTTCATGTAAAGCAGTACCGAAAAAGAACCACAAACAAAGAGCTGTACTGAGTTTTATCTGTTAACAGAACATAAGACTGATTCTTCAACAGTTGCCCTGACTGACCGCTGGGCACTGATTTGGATTTTCTCCTGTGCTGTCTTCAACAGCTGTTTCAGTGTAAATCCTATATTTTGAAATAGCTAAGAAGAGCTTTAAGAGGGACGCTTTAATGTGGACACTTGACCATCGCACCTATTTGAACTGTTAGACATCCTATTCCAAAACAGTGAGCATTCATATGGAAATGGCACCCGTTTGCATCTGTAACAGCCTCTGAGAAGCCTTTCCACAAGATTTTGGAGTGTCTGTATGGGAATTTGTGCCCATTCAGTCAAAAACGCATTTGTGGCACTGATGTTGCATGAGAAGCACATGGCTATGATGGAGGGGCAGAAACAGACACGCAAAGGGGAACATTGGGGACATGTTGCCTTGCCCTGCTTTCGGTAAGCAGATCTTCTTTCATGCCCTACCACTCTATTATGGAAATAGAAATATGTAAATTATAAGTTATGTTGAATTAGATAGCAGACTGGAATCTGTTTCTGTAACATATCTGTGCATCTTTGTTGATGTGTTTACTGGAATTTCATGTAAAGCAGCATCAGAAAAGAACCACAAACAAAGAGCTGTATTGAGTTTAGCTTCATCTGTTATCAGAAGGCTAACGGAGACAGACACGCAACAGGGGGTGGGTTGGGGGGGCGGTTACACCTGCAAAAGTGGTGGAGCAGAACATTTTGGAAAAAATGCAACTAGGCTACTGATTGACTAACTAAAAGTACCTTTCATGTCATGATAATGACAAACCTACTGATGAACAGTGTCAGTGTTTGTTTTGATCCTGCACTTCGCTGAGTTCAGCCTTTGCTAGCTAACATCTCTAAAGAACATCAGTCTGTTTTCATACCCAGTTCATTTTTTAAAGTCCCAATCAGAGTTGGGGTTTCTGGGATATTCTATCTTTTTCATTTGGTTTGTTTCACACTGCAAAGGCTAAAGTGGACTACATTACACATGTGGGTGTTTGTTGACTGGTCAGAAATGTTGCAGGGATGCAAACGCTCTGTTTTACTCACACTGGCCACCTTCGAAAAGTAGAAAAAAGAGACGTCTATGCATATCACAAACAAAGCAATAATAATAATTATATTAACAATAAACATTACTTGATATCTATTTCATTTTGATTGGTTTGCCAGTTAGAATTTATTTATTAAGATTACTGATTCTTCGCCAAAAATACATCCCACTAAACGATGTGCCAAAATTAAAGACATGTCCTTGTTATTATCTGATTTCTCTGCCGTTATTACCAGCAGTTCATGCTGCAAGAAAAATACGAGCATTTGTAAAATGTTAAAACATCTAGATTATGTGGACAGTACAGCCATGATGTGCAGCTAAAGGATAGCTGTGTCCAAAACTGCAAACTAGCTAATTCAACATTACATCAAAAATAGTACAGTATATAGTGTTGTTTTGGACGCAGCCCATGTTCTGATATAAAATTTTTTTGTTTCATGTGGACCATCGTAAAACACGTTCCCCCCCAGCAGTGAACTGAACTAGGTTTCACTTTAGAACTGGACCAAGATACAATCATTTTTGCCAGACCACTGTTTAAAACTTATCTTTTTGTTTGTCTACGTTTGTGTCCACCTTAAGTCTGTTCAAAACAAGCTTAGAGACAGAGCCAAAGAAATCTGTTGCGTGCCCAACAAGCGATGCCCTCACTTTCATCTTAGCACACCCAAGGAAATTAGATTACAGTTAGCATCACACGGTTCTGGGTAACATGTACCCAGAACTGTCGCCCCGCTGAGTTTCAGAAATCCAGCCTCATCCCCAGAACTTTTGATCTGCACCCATCATGCTGCCACACAACCTGCCGCTTCGCCTATTCACACACTCGGCATCAAAGGCAGACCCACCACCTCAGAAGTAGTGAAGCCCTCCTCTTTGAGCCGCTGTGAAATGCAACTAGCCTGGTCACTGACTGTGGTCACTTGTCCTGCTCCTGACAACGCAGAATACACCTACAGCACAAGAGTGTTTGAGGATCCATTCCACATCACTGGAGAGGTCCAGTTCATCTTCTCGGCACAAAACAAGGCAGCGCTCTCTTTCATGCACTCAGGTGTTGACGATACCCAATCCACTGGGTTTAGACCCTTACATACATATATACATATACATATACAGGGTGATTCAAAAAGATTCATCTGATTTCAAAGCGCCATATTTTTACAACCATGAGGCGCCAAGGAACCAATCACATTCCAATTGAAAGAGGGGGTCATAGAGTTTCTGACCGTCAGTGGAGAATGGCTCCTTCAGTCTGTGAGGAGATGAGACCCCTGAGCAGAAAGCGTTCTGCGTTCTCCACTTCAATAAGAGTGAATCTGTCATAACTCTGCAGCGTGACTTTCGTCGGCAGTGAACCTCCAGCAGCTCAGAGCATTCGTCATTGGTTCCACAACACTGAATCTCCGAAAACGCACTGAAAGAGCCGTGAGTGCAGTGACACCCGACATGCTCAGTCCGCTCAGCTGGAGGAGGTTCAAATTGAGCACTTGTAAAATTACATAATAAACTTTATGCTCAATTAAACCATTTACAATTTACTGCATTGTTCTGTAATGATTTAGAAGTGAAATAAATCTTTTAAATTGGATCAATCTTTTTGAATCACCTATATATATATATATATATATATATATATATATATATATATATATATATATATATACGAACCAACATACATGTACATACACCTACCAGTTACCTTGAGATATCCCATACATTCATGCTTCAAAGTTTCCATATCGCCCTTCCCCAGAGGGGGTTGCCTTACGTCTTATAGGTTAATGCCATTCCAGTGGTTGATAATATTATCTGTTGAGTTCTGTACACTATAAATTGCCTTTTCATTGAAGCATCTTTCATGTGAACGTGCTTCCTTACCTAGTGGTTGTTTGAGATATGAAGGCCTAGTGGTTGTATGAGATATTTGCTAATGCATGCTGGGTATTGTAGTATAAGAACACTGATGAAAGAAATTTCGACGTTATCATAAGGGGGTTTTCATAGTCTTCAAAATGGAAAATCTCACACTAGAGACTTATGCAGCACCTCCGTAAGAGGCAAGAAGACAAAGGATTCTTTCAAATTGATGAAGTTTAGGTATACAGTACAGTGCTGCACTACGGTCATTTTATTTATCACACAGCAACACACGTTGTGCTGAAACAAAAGCAAGAAAAAAAAGATGTGCTAAAAAAAAATTAGCATAATGTCTATATCATTAGTAAGTTATCACTTAGACCCAGCACAGGACCTTTCATCGATATTATTATTTGTTAATTATTACCACTATCGTGTGATTTTACAGGGTATATAGTGGCTTAATAGATAGAAGCCACCAATCACACAATTTTGGATGCTGGTAGGCTGGTCAACCAACATGACCATGACCATCTGGTATATGGTTGGTATAGTGTAGTGGGTAACACCACTGCCCTCTACGCTGTAGACTGCCTGGGCAAGCACCCTGCACTATACACACAGAAATCTCACAAAAACAGTATTGACTGGCTGTGATCTTCAGGACAGCACTGCATTAAAAACAGACAAGATTCTGTAGTGGAATTCACTGCATGGGCTCAGGAAGAGACCACTGTAAACACAGTTTGTCACTGCATCCCCAAATGCAAGTTAAAACTCTAAAACACAATCTGCATATAAACATGATCCAGAGACACTGCCGCCTTCTCTGGGCCTGAGTTTATTTAAGGCTTCAAAGTGTCCTGTGGTCCGATGAATCAAAATTTGAAATTCATTTTGGAAATCATGAACAATTCATCCTCCGGGCTAAAGACCACCTGACTTGTTATCAGTACACTCTCTAGCATCTGTGATGTTATGGGTGTGCATTATTGCACATGGTATGGGTGACATGCACATCTATGAAAGCACCATTAATGTTGAATGATATATCCAGGTTTTGGAGCAAAATATGCTGC